AAGAGTTGTAGGCAAAGTGGCTGCTTCTGCTGGCAAGAATGTTCATGGGGGATTTGGGCTTTTCCTTTTTGGCTTAGCTGTACCAGTATGAATGTTCCTATCCTGTATCTCATCCCATTTCTTCCACGTTAGTGTCCTTACCTTAATAGAAAAGATTGTATATACCATGCATTATGCCCCTCTAAACTATCCAACTTAACTTTCTATCATCTATCTTCATCATCATCTATCCTCTATCTACTAATTGATCAATCATGAATTTATCAAAATATGTGTGTGTCAGTGTGTTTGTATGTGTGTGTTTAATAGGAAAAAAGACAGTTTTGCTATATGTGTTCTCCCTCCCCTCAGGATTTTAAAATTTATATATTTAGTAAAGAGAGAAAAAGAAAATTAAGGCAGTTCCTCCAATAATGAAACCCATCTATGTACGTGTCTAAATACAACACACATGTACACAGTCACACACATCACAACTTTTCATCATTTATTAATAAATAACCCATGCCAAGTTTTCTAAAATGTAGTACATTTTAATTGTAATAACTTTTTGCATAATTAGGTGTGGGCTCTTTTAGTTCAATTGTAAAATAACATGTATGCCTCTATCTTCCTATGAAACTTCCATCACTGATTTTAACAATGATTTGTAAGATAGCTGCTCTTCTAAGAGTTAATTTATGAAGAAACATTACTTTTTGAGGAGGATTTGCCTTTAAATTATAAAATGGCAGCACATTTCATCCCCTGGTTTTATCAAATAGGCCATAACAACAGGCTCATTATCCTGAGTATGTAACTCTATGACTTGTTGTCAAGATTTATAAATAAAATATATGAAGAATGAAAAAAAGTTTTTCCTCAAATTGGAAAAAAAATGGATTTTGAAATCCCTCTCTAAAAATAAGATCAAGTGTCAGTTTCATTAATAGAATATTTAGTCTAAAAATACACATATGTATATATACAGACCTTTAATAAAGCTAAAATTGAATGAAACAAATAAGCATTTCACTATATTAGAAATTTTAGGTTAGCTCATTTTCGATGATGCTTGGAAAATCAGTAGGTTTGAGAAGGTGGACAGGCGGCCGTGGGAATGCTTGCTGTTATTTTCAAGGGTTTGTATTCCTGGAGAGCAGGGAGTGGGACTAGGTCAAATTAGATCGCCCCAAAGCTGTTCTTACCAAAGCCATCTGTTCTTACCAAGATTAAGCTGCTTTACTTGAACAAATGATCCCTGCATTTGGCAAGCTTTTGGTAAATTTCCATATTTGAGAAATGTTGATTCTGACCATTGTTGCCAGATTTTTGTTGCATTTATGGAGAAGCAAATTTTTTGACATTCTTACTACTCTTTTCTCCGTGATGCCACTCCAGAAGTGATTTTAAGGTGTCCCGTAATCCATTAGCTCTCTCCAACACAATTATAGACAGCTAATCACATTTGACTCTGTCTTCTCCTGGCATCCTGTGCATTCTACGCCCATGCATATAATAATGTCCCCAAAATATTACAGAGAGTTAAATGTGAATACACCTATAGGATTAGCTACCTGAGCTAATATTTTATTTATTTAAAATAAGAATAACATTTTTATTTATTCCAACTATTACAACTGATTTAATTACATTGTTTTGCATAGTGCCTGATATAAAGATTATGACATTAATATTTTAATGATGAATACATTCTTTATAATCTTTGTCCTTGGTAATTACATACATTTATTACAAAATGATATCTTTGTGAGAATAATTAGGTATATTTTAGGATGAAAGAATTTTAGTTAAAAATGATTAAAAATGATAAATGCAATAAAGTATGGCCTAAAGGGTCACAACTAAAGTGTGCATATAGCAGTGTGATGCAGGTCTGGGTGTCTGGACCTGTATGCATTGACCTCTGAAGCACTGAAGGAATTATCACAGCATAAGCTAACACCCCCATTTGGTAGCCCTGCTTCATTCAACAGAAGGACCACTGCACTGCCTTTCAAGGCTTTTAACAGACAGGTATCAGAGGAAGCTGAATTTTAGTGTGTCCAATCACTGAATCATACAAAAATCTTAATAGAAAAAACAGATTGATATGTCCCAGATGCATAGAGAAAATGGGAAACTTAATCCTAGCAAAAAATAAAATAGGAGATATACTAGTGGAATTTCAAGTGGAGACAATAATTATATTTATTTAATTGGTTAACTTAATTTAAATATGCCTTTTTCACTTTTATGCTCCTATTTCGTTCTTTTACAATCCCCAATTTTAACACTATGTCCTGTTCTTTTCATACAATTTCAATTTTGTCATTTAAAAGAAAGTTAATTAAAATATTTTGGATTGTTGGACTATGCTTTACCTTATAACGGTTTATTTCCTCCTATGATTCTTAATTTGGAGCTCAATGCTCTTCCGTGCGAGTGGTTTTACTAAGAGCCTGCGGGAGAGTCTTGTGCAAATGATCAGAGCACCGGCCTCTGCAGACAGCAATGGTTTTCCCTAGCCCGTGTAGTGTCTTCATTTTAATTTCTCAGGTTGGGGCAATGATATCACATGGATAGCACAAATTCAACACAAATCTCACAGGAAGCAGAGGACTTCTAATGTAATGTATCTTGGGTGACTTTTTATTTCTTTTTGTGTACTTAGAACATTAAGAATATGAGGTGGCTTTTCAATGCATATCTCTTCATAACATTTGAGTATTTTAACATATGCATGAACTATTTAATTAAAATATATACTTGTATAAGTATATATAAAATATATAAACACATATGCATATTTATATCTAATCTAAGTTTTAGAACTTCATATGAAAATCCATTAGGAAAATTTTGATATAAAAGCAATTCAATATGATTTGGTCCAAGGCAAGAGTCCTGTTTGAATGCTAAATCTGGATCAGAATTGGGATCATATGCATTTTTAAATTTCAATTTTTTAAAGTGGCTCAGATTTTACTAAGTAGAGAATATGCCCAGTCTCCTAATGCATTATCATCCTCTGCATGTGTATTTTTCCTATTATGCATATACATGCAAATGTTGAACTATAGACCAGTCCTATTTTCTGAAATTGTTCATCTATATAATGGAAAGTAGTAAGAAAAAATTCTATTAACCCTCATTTTTCTAGTTTTTAAAATGACAGAAAATTCATTATGATTTTTCAAAATTATGAGATGCTAAGAGAATTGAAATAAAATCTGAAATAATTTCAAATTATATAATTTGAAATGATACAATTCCAGGCTTAAAATAATGATATCATTAATAATAGTGAAATGCTGGCAATAAAATATCATGAACACTAATGAGCATCTATTTATTACATGTGAATGTGTATTAGAACATAAATAGTATTAGAATATCAAAGTTGTTAACATTATTTATCCTACATGTGATTTTTTTCAGATTCTCATTTATTTCACTCAGTATTATTCTAAACCGGGATAAAAGCAAAGATGGCAAGGAGTGCTACAAGGAATGAGCTGACTACACAGGAAGTGTGAGTGTAGTTGTCACCATACCCACAGCATAGCTCAGGCTCATCAGGGCTATGAAGCACTCAGAGTAACAGAAATCACACCAAATATTAACATCTCACATGCTGAGATCACAACGGACAAGGAAGAGTGATGACACAGATCTTACAGTCATTCTTATATCAAAGAAATATTCATCCTTTTTTTATTTTGGGGAAGAATTCACAAAACCAATAGATTTCCATTGTTATACACCTGACTATAAAACAGCCTTGTCTACTGATGGGCATTACAACCTTCCCCCATGGCTAATTTTTTCTCTTATTTGAATAATTTCTTATAAATGGAATTTCCCTTCTACTGGAACCCTATACTATCATTAAATTATAGTTTTCTAGATGTCACCTAATCACCTGGACGGGATGGGAGCTGCAAAGGGAGCTTCCCAGGCCTCATCACAGAGCTGGCTGTGGGCGACAGACAGCTCTGATTTCTACACCATAAGTAAGGGAAGGGCCTCAACTGCCACTACAGCTTGCTACAGAATATGCCAAGCCACATACGTCTCTCCAGCCTTTGCATCTACCCAAGATTTCAACATGGCTTGGGGGTGGGGGCCTCAAAGTAGGAAGGAGGGGATGCCCAGGTGACAAAATGTACTTCAGAACACTGCAGACACACTGAGGTCTCCAAAGCTGTTCTCTCAAGTGGTTCAGTTACACCTGGCTTTGCGGGCTAATCTGGGCTAGTAGCATCATTAATGATATAATTTCTACAAAACATTAATTCTGTACTCCAAAAAGCAAGTTTAAAACTTTAGAAACATTAATGATAATAATAGCATATATTGAGAACTTTAAATGAATTTAAAAGATAGTTACCCTTATATAAATGTTACAAATAAGGGAACTGAAGTTTATATAAGAAAATAATTTATTTTTCATAAGTTGAAGAGCATTTAAAAATGTTACCATACAAATTAATTTTTGATTTATATATCATTTATAGATAGCTATCTTAGATACTTAGATTTTAGGGTTGATGTCAAGGGTAACAAGTTTATGAAATTTGATTAATAAAAATTAATTTCATTGTATGCATTAATTTAGATTTATTTGACATAGTATCAGCAAATTGTGAAAATCCTTGAACTTTGAGATCAATTAAAATAGGTCTCCCAAAAGATAAAGTATACTGAAACGATCTTATATAGACAGCACTGTAAGTTCTTGAACACTGTATTCAAATAAATATAATTATTTTGTCAAAAAATAACTCAGTTTACTTAGATACAAGTTTTTAAAAACTGTCTTTTAAAACAATTAGAGGAACAGATATATTACACAATATAAAAGGATCTCTTAAATTTATGTTTTTTTCTCTATAGATAGAAAATGATTAGTACCAATTATTTGTGCATAAAAATCAGATACCATCAAGATTATCTTCTATAATAGATAAAATTAAAGAAATATATAATTAAGTTTCCCAAGAATTTCTCGCTCTTACCTGCTGGTTTACAGGAAAGTTTCTGTTGATTTTTTTAATCTGTAATGATAAATAAATAATAAAATTGTGAATAACAAGGATAAGGTAACACAAGATCCTCAAAATTTTATGAGGATATAGTTTCAGTGACTTAATATTCACTCTTTGACTTACTGAAATCATTACATAACAAACATCACATATGAAAGGCTTTCTTCCTTTTTAAAAATCAGATATCAATATTATCTCAAACTTCATATGCCAAAATTTTGTAAAGTATATTTACTTCCTTTATGTATGAGAAACCAAAAGCCTATGTTTCCCTGCAATTTTAAATGATTATCTACTAAGAATGTAGACAATTATTTTGTCTGTCTTTTTGTATTTTGAAATTATATCCAATTTGTTTGAACACACAAGGGAACAGAGTAAATGAAATATTCAAATATTAAAGGACAAAGTATATATGTTGAAATATTTTCTGTCAAGACTCCAAATAAAATATAACATTTACTTTAAGACAATTTAATGAATGACATTTTATAAGATTTTAAAATAAATCTTCAGAGAAAGCATTTCCACTGTAGTATACCATGGAAAAAACTTTAAAAACCAAATAAACATTAATAGCAGGTTTAGATAAATGAACTTTAAAACACAAAATCTTTCTTCAGCAATACTTTTTCTAATTAAAACCAATTATTTTCCATTGGCTTTGTAGTAAAACTTAAACAATGCTCAGTCCATATGATATATGTTTACAGCAGAGTAAATGCAGACTGTTTTCACTTACAAATTATATTATTGACTTACTTTATTTTTCCATTTTTCAGTTCCTTTTTGTCTTACCAATAAATGTGAAATGACAGGTAATTTCATGGATACAGAGCACAAAGTTGGAGAATTATCAAATGTAACATTTTAAGAACAAACTTACTGGCAGGATATTCTCATTTAAAATGTAAAAATAAAAGAAAATTTGAAAATATATATGTAATTTGAGCAAGGTTATGTACAAAAACCATGTCCTTCTAACATTATTATAATCATTTAAAAGTAGTTTTTGCTCTAGTGATGAATCAGCTAAGGAATTTCTAAACTCATGCCTTCAGCTAAAATCAGGATAGTCTGGACACATAGAGGAAAAAGCTGATCCCTAAATATTTTTTATTAATCAATCAAACATTCTATGCTAAATACTTTGTGGAACTATGCTTTTTGCTAGTTCTTATAAATTGTTATAAAGAATTGCAAAATTCGGCTGGGCGCTGAGGCTCATGCCTATAATCCTAGCACTCGAGGCCGAGGTGGGAGGATTGCTCAGGTCAGGAGTTCAAAACCAGCCTGAGCAAGAGCGAGACCCCGTCTCTACTAAAAAAATAGAAAGAAATTAATTGGCCAACTAAAAATATATAGAAAAAATCAGCTGGGCATGGTGGTGCATGCCTGTAGTCCCAGCTACTCAAGAGGCTGAGGCAGGAGGATTGCTTGAGCCCAGGAGTTTGAGGTTGCTGACACCACGGCACTCTGGCCTGGGAAACAGAGTGAGACTCTGTCTCAAAAAAAAAAAAATTCGACTTCTCTTTATATGGACTCATCTTCAAGAGTGTACTATCTAGCTTTTGAGTTTGTTCAACCTGAAAAAAGTCGGAATAATCTTTTATGGGAACCTGAAAATTGACCGTGTGGAGAAGCATTGCATGATAGAAAGTGTGGTTGATCACAGAAATCTTCTCCTGCTAAACTCACCCTCGAGAGTGTTTGGGTTATAACACGTTCCCTCCAGCCATGGTTGGCTTTCTCTCCCCCATAGGGTATTTACTAGACTGTTAACCTTATTTACTTGTGTAGAGTTGTTGTATTGATATTTGATAGCATTGATTTTGTTTTTGTTACTGTTTTCCTTAGTACTTACCTGGTTAATCTTAGAAAAGATGATCTTAGTAACATATGAATCTTATCTTTATCCTTTAAATACTTTATTGTATACCATTACTATTATTTACAAATGAAATGTATGATATATTTCCTACCACTGCTCAAATATAAGCCAAGAATGTAAGAGCAACTTGGACAAAAATTATAATATAAAGGAGTATATCAATTACTAGAGAGTTCGAATGATAAGGAAGTTAGTGTGATATGCTAACAACTAGAATTTCAAAATAATAATTAGTATGTAAAAAAATAAATGTTTGCAAAAAAATCTTAAAATTACATTTAGAAGTCATTTCTAGATTCTTTTCTAATATATGACTAATGTAATAATAAAATAGTAAAGTGGAACAAAGATTTAAAATATTTAATCAATTATTGAAGAAGGAATATTCTTTAGAGTAGAAATACTAATAAATTGCATTTCTTTTATTTAAATGATATCTTCATGACCTTTTAAACTCTGCTTCTTTCTAACTCCTCAATACTATATATTTGAACAACTTATCCCAAGATCTGAGTAAAAATATTTTTAAAAGTGGGTTATTACTTAAAAACTGTTACCTGTAGTATTAATAAATTTATTTGGCAATGAAATAACTTTTCAAGTTTATTTCCACCAAAATCTATAGCTTTTCATTTGTGTATTGGCATAAAATAATGCATTCGTATCAGTTCATTTTCTAATGGAAATACAAATGTATATAACCAAACTCCAAAGCATACAGAAAGGCAATCACAATGGGGTGCCTGGGGCCTGGCTCAGGAAACTCCCCTTTTGTCCTCCTTGTAACATCAAGAAAAGTAAATGCATTCTTTTCAGGGTTTTGGGGGGCAGTGTATATATATAAAATTACACCTTGTTAAGATTTTAAATCTATACACACACCCAAAGCCATTTTAAAGATAATCTCAATATTACCTACAGCAAGCAGAGTAGAACAATATAAAATGTTCCATTTTCTAGTAAATATACTAACATTTCAAATAAAACAATAATTAAATGCAGGGAAAATTTGAAGATCTCACACCTCAAATACTTTAAAAGATAATTCTCAACATTCTAACATTTTTTAATATGCACACACGCATACCAAAAATTAAGTGGAAAAGGCAGTGTAATTAAAACTTATATGCAGGATATGCTGAATTATTTTCATGCTAAATAATAACCCATATGCCTAAAACATTAGAATACTGTGCATTTACAAATGCCCATGTTGTTATTTATTGATAAGAAATGATGTCTATAAAATGTTTTCATTTAAAGACAGTTTCATTCAATTATTTTAAAAATTTTATATATACATACATAGATTGCTAACTTAGGCATATTCCCACTCTTATGCATTTAGTTTAATATCCCTAATCATGAACCAAAATCTATTTTTGTATGTAAAATACACATATATAAGCAGATGTGTATGTTTGATAAAGAATTTGACAGTTATAAAACTATAACTCTTTTTATTATAAACTATACTATTTTATAAAATATACTATAAAACATATACTATTTTATATCATAAAATATAATATAATGAAGTTTTATTTTTGTTGGGGGTTTTCTGGACGTAGACGTAGAGACGAGCAACCCACGGGCTCAGCAGACCGGTGGCTGTCAAGCACAGCACAACAGAGGGCAGCTTCAACCGAGAGGGATCACATCATGCTAGACTTAGTGGCTAAACTAGCTTTCAGATCACAATAAAAAGAGTTGTATGCTTCTTCTTCCATGTGTACCCTAATGTATAATCCTTCCACTACCAAAGTAAGCCTAGCAACTGTGTTTCTTGCTAATGTCTAAAACTTCGAGAGCCACTGTTGTTCAGTTACTGTGCTGAATTATGCTGGTTGTTTGTTATCTCTCCAAAACTAGTGTTACCTGCCTCAGCAGTGCCCTGAATATGAAAGTCCTATGTCAGACCTGTTTTATTCGTGGGCTTAACATATTCCAGTGGTTGATGCTGCTAAAACAATGACTTGCTTTGGACCTATGCCTCTGTTGAATATCATTGGTTTATTATTAACAACAGTTTATACAGCTATTTTTTTTAAAACTCTTTAAGGATGGATGCTGTTTTCTTGTTCTTTAGCATTTCTTGTTCCCTCAGTGTACACATGCCTTCCCAAACATATTTACATGGAGTAAATGTGCATATATACAAGGATATATTATATATTTTGTACTTCAATGGGATAATTTTCTAAAATATGAATCCATCCCTTAATGCAAAAACATTCCATATTGTTTCTACACATAATACATTAATTTCTAATTATATGTTGCCCAAAACATGATATTTTAACATAGTGCTGACTTAAACTAAGAATGGGGACACAATTCATGCCTACTTGGAAATATAAGAGGATGCAATTTACATTGTGTAATTTTTCAAGAACCACTCATAACCTCATAATAAAAAACAAGGTATCCATGAATCCATACTTATAAGTAAAAATTAAATATAAAAAATCACAGGCAGAAGAACTCCAGATAAGTTTGGAGTATATATTTAGAGTATAAAATTAGAATTTCTTTTGCCACTTTAAAAGAAGACATTTATTTCAAAGACAATAAGGTGTTTAACCTTTTTAAATCACAGACCTTTTTACAAATCTGATGATTTGATTTGTGATCTGATTATGTGATCTCCAAGCAGAAAAAAAAATGCTCAGCATTTTGCTTTTTGCTTGCAGTTTTAGGGAATTTGTAGACACATCAAAACTTCAGAGAGACTTCCAGCAAAGAAGAGAATTAATATCATAGCAGAGGAAACATTTGATTTGACCTACTTCCCTCAGGTAGTAAAATGTATTATAAATGTTCTTCCTCAGAGATGACTGCAGCAAAAAAATGAGACTGAGAGTGATATGTCTATGGTAGAGGGCTTTCCATAGCCAAGAATTTTTGATACCAGTTATTTACAATCATATGAATTGTTTTCATGATTTGTGTATTTTGAAAGACTGTATCTAGATTCAGGATAGTGTGATCTACACACAGGAAATATAATCTAAGTAAAGTTCTTATTTTTTTAATATAGTTTTATATAAATGAAGTATGAAATTCAAATATTTTAAACATAAATATCAACTTATTTTTGTTTTATACTGCATCTGTG